GCCTTACACAGATGAGGAGGTTTCTCTGAATTTGGACCATCATGTGGGTACTTCATGATGTGAACCTCAGAACTCTGAGAGATATTGGGAGACCACACTTTTTTGGAATTGCCCGTCTGTCCGACTCAGTGTGCCTGAATTTCTCAAAACCCTAAACCCTAAAACCTAAAACCTAAAACCCTAAAAACTCTAAACCCTAAACCTTAAACCCTAAACCCTAAACTTCTTCCTCTTCAGCTCTTCCGTGTGAACTTGTGAAGCCAATTGCAAGTCTGATCTGGTCACTTAAGGGCCCTGAGCCCCAAGCATGGCCCTGAACCCTAATTCCTTGCGTTTGGGAGTAAATTCAGTTCGTCCCCTTGGAGACAGCAGCTTGTTGTATACTTCCGAAAGTCCCAGCTGGACTTTGCAGAGACAAGCTGAGTGCTTAAATGTGCAACTTTGTTTTTTGGGGGGGTGTTCCCTAATTCAAAGGCATTCTGAAGGTATGCGGAATGGGGCCTTAAGGGTGCCCGCAGTTTCGTCAAGCGCAGTTTCGTCAAGTTGGTTGGTGGAAGCTGATGCCCGCATTTGGACTCCTTCAGTAAGAAAGGAAAACAGAGGGCTGTCAGTGAATGCAGGTGCCAGCATGCGCTGCTTGGTGGCGAGGTCTGCAGTTCCGCAATGCTAATCATGGAAGCCCTACACCCCGTTGACTAAAACTTGCCCACGATTGCCATTCTCAGGATTTTGCTACCTGCACCCTGTGTAAAAGGGCAGCTAGAATCTTGGCAAAAATAGGCCCCTAGTCATGACAGCTGCTCATGTTTGCCCACTGGACGCTGAGTGTCGCTGTCGCTGGAATCATCTGTTCTGCGCTACGGTTGCATGTCGCAAACGCAAGCGACGTCGGCTGCCCAGACATGTAATTTGAAAGTTGACGCCGTGTGTTCAAAGGCTTACATCTTCATCCAAATGACACCCAGAGTGCTGAACAGATTTACATCGGCACGCATTGTAGGTTCTTGGAATCCCACGGGGGATCTGTGCCACGAGCCAACGGCCCTTAACGTTGAGGATGCTTGGCTGGTTGACATCGGCAACTTCACCTTCACGTTTCAGCTCTCCAAGTAAGGCTTCAGTGCGACTATCGCAGATTCTGGCAGCAATGCAAGAATGAGTACCAAGCTTCGTCAGTGTCTCAGAGGAATGCCCCAGGAGGCCTGGGGGTGTATAGGTCGGTGCTTGGACCCAGAGTATGGGAGCACTGATAGATGCTACTTAGAGGGTCATTCATGGGTAGTTGTGCCTCAGGCATGACCAATAATGCCTACTTAACCTCACAAAGGCTTGGCTTAGCCCCATTAACCCCTAAACTCCACCTAGCCCTAACCCCTAAGCCCTGAACCGCACCCTTGCTCGCAGACCCACTTAACCTTGAACCGTAACCCAGCCTACAGCTCGGGCGATTCTCTGGCACTTCGTAGCGGTGTGAGCTGCGTCCTGCACACAAAGACCTGCATGTCTTTGGGCTACGGGGGGTTTAGGATTCAGGGTTTAGGGTTCAAGGTTTAGGGTTCAGGGTTCGGGGATCAGGGTTTGGGGTTGAGGGTTCGCGGTTTAGGGTTGCGCGTTCAGGGTTTAGCACCACTACCACAGGATCGTGTCCACTTACTTCTCACTTAAATCTCTTAAGCAGGGAATGAAGGAACGCATCCTTATAGTAGTTCCTACATAACCATTGCTAATTATACAGTCGTTGCCATTTCCCTTCATTCTCTGCTAACCAGAGCTAAGTTCAGAACTCGAAGTCAAGGCTACCTTGTCTCCCAAAGTTAAGGTTTAGGGTTCAGGTTTTTGGGTCTAGGGTTTAGGGTTCCTGTAATATACGAAATCATGGGGAAGACTGGATGACCTGAGAACCCTAGCAGAACATACTCCAAACCATTTTTTGGCTTGGGTCCAACAAATCACTCGAAGTCCAGGATCCTAGATCTGGGTCATTGTTGAAAATGATCAGGGTTCCTGTTTAGGAATTGAATTAAGTTACCGTATTAGGGGCATGCAGTAAATGATAAGGCTTCATTGTTTTAGTAGCTAGGTATACTGTATATTCTGGGGCTTCCTTTTTACAGTAACTTAAGTTCTTTCCTTAGCAGCAACCCAATCCTTTTCCATGAAGGGACCAAATCTAGGGACTTCGGAGCATTGACCATGGAGAGGTTGCCTGCTACATGGAAGCCATCTTGGCCTTTTCCCTTGTTAAGGTCTAGGGGGTTTAGGGTTTAAGGGTTTAGGGGTTTAGGGTTTTTGGTTTAGGGTTTTGTTTATGAACGAGACTGAAAATGGATGAAAACGGATGTTCATACTTGGCGTATAGAGGGACAGCATGCAGAAGGCGAGGTGTCAGAATCAGGGAGCACAAATGCACAGGACACCAGGCTGCAAACCAACTTTAAATCTTACCCCCCCAAAAAAGAACCTGAGCCACATCAAGTTGGAGCATGGTTGCATCCCGAAACCTTTACAGCACAGGCCAAACAATTTGGAGTGCACTGAATACTACAAGCCGGTAGCCAGCCCTTGCCTGGACATGCCAGCTTAGAGAAAAACACAATTCTCAAGACGTCTTGCGGCAAGCATTGTGTGTTTCAGTTCTTCTGCAGGACGACAGACAAGGAACTTTCCGCGCAAGACGGTATCTCTTCTGTTGCGGGAATGGCTGTGCCATCAGCCATGTGCGATTGCTAGTGAGCACTTCCTCTGAGTCCTCCATCTATGTAGCAAGGCCCCTGCCCAGACGTGAGTAATGATTTGTCACTGCATGCAATTTTTCCAAGACCACGACTGGATGCAGATCATGCTGGCTGGGGTGTAACGTGTATTTGGCTTGGTAGTGTTTGGGCAGGTCTCTGCCGAGAGCCTTTTGTTCCCAGTTGCCATACGAGCCTTCTTAGTTTCGATCGCTGCTTGTTAACTCCTTCGCGATGCATGTCATTGGGGTGGTGTCTCTCTTCTTTGTTGCAACGGTCCCATTGCGCAGAGAGTTCCTCATTAATAAGTGGACACGCGTTGTACACAGAAGTTAGCTTTTAGCGGCTTGATCATGTCGAGGAGATACCACTTAACCTTGGGACCTTAGTGAAGCATTCCCTAAGCGATGCCGCCACGGATGGTCATGCCGAGAAGACTGAAGTGTCTGAGACCTCTGGGCAGGAATTGCAAGGCAAAGACAACCTCAACCTGGGCCACGAAGTGCTCAGGGAAGGATGAAGCTTCCTGCAAGAAGGAAGGCGCCTGAGTGCAAATGGTGCTCGAATTTGGTTCCTGCTGATGCCTGGGCATCAGCACGACCCGCAGGGTTCGGTAGCCAGCCTTTCCCTGGACATGCCGGCATAGAGAAAAAGTGCAATGCGGACTACAAGTACATGGCAGGCCCTTGACTAATAAACCCCCTCCCCTAAATAGGGACTAAGGGATCCTCTTTTTAAGGCCCTTAAAAGGAGGGGGTTTATTAATCATGGGTCTACATTAGTGCATAACAAACTGATTCTTCAGGATGCTGCATGTTGACCGCATATTGCACCATGGTTCAAGGCGTTGCAGTTCCAAAGCCTCAGGCAGGCTTTCATAGTTTCCCGTGTGCTGTTGAATCCCAACTCTTCACGACATGGCCCTCTTGAAAGCTTCTTGGACTTATTGTTGTAAGGATTTAGGGTTTAGGGTGGTGTTTCCAGCAATTAAGGGTCCCTATAGCAAGCGGTGTGTATTTCGGACTAGAAAAAGGGACCCCCCATTTCCGGAAATGTCCACCGTGGGGGGGAGTAGGCGGGGTAGTAGGGAACCGATGATAATAAACCTTAGGCCACTTAGGCCCTAAACCTTAAACCCGAATGATACGTTTCACAGCCTGATTGTAACGATCTTCAGTAAGGCTTAGGGTTTTGCAGTCGCTTCGTGGGTTTTTGTCTACTTTTACAGCATAGCCAGCTCAACCAGCTGACCCAAAATCAACCTACTGAGTGCCCAAGCCTTACACTCTGAACCTGAAATCCTAAAGCAAGCGTTAAGCCCGCTTGAAACCAGCCAAGTCAGGTTTTTATCCTTCAGCTTGTGGTGGCGATGGCAGTGCGTAGTGGCAAGGAATGGAGCTTTGGGACAAACTCCCCCAGTTAGGGTCTAGGGGTTCTTTAGTCTCTCCACCTCCCCCCAAGAATGCATTTTCGCTGGTAATATATGGGCACTCTATTGGGTCATTTCTTATGGTAGGGTTGGTTTTCGGGAGGGGATTAAAACCCTGCACCACAATCCCTTTCTGACATGTAGGGATTTGGGGGCCTAGGGCTTCCGAAGCGCTTGGAGTGCGGGTAGAGGGTTTGGGGTGCAGGGTCCAGTGGCCGAGGTTGGAGGGTTTAGGGGGGTTTTGGGGTTTAGGGTTTGGGGGGTTCAGGTGTTTAGGGCTTCGGGATCTTGGCTTTTAAGGGTGCAGGATGCTCAGGCCTGAAGTCTGCAAGACTCCAGATTTTTCTTGTCTAAATCTAAGCGCCGCCTACACCCTGAACTCAAAACCTAATGTCTGACAACGCTCTAGGCCTCAGGTGCTGAGACGTAAAAGTCCCCGGGCTTCAAAAAACCCTAAGACCTGAACTCCTGCAGGAAGCCGTGCAGGAAGCCCTGCAGGAGGGCTTTGAAGCCACGCGTCACGAGGAGGCTGGGAGTCCATCCCCCCTGCAAAGAAGACATCCCAAGGGCTCCAAATCGCTTGGTACTGTCGTCTAAACTCCTTAAAGGGGAATCTATAGGGGACTATCCTATTATAGGGGTTATTCAGGGGAATTTAGGAGTTCAGACTATAGCTCATGTTAGTATTATTCGTAGACCTAGAGCCCCATTTGATCCCGAAGCCAGAGCCTCACAAACCTAAGCCGGAGACCTGCATTTCGAATCTCTAGGGCTTTTTCAAGTCCTGGTCCTAATCCCTAAGCGTTGTTTTGGGAATTCCTGTCGCCCATTTCAGGTGGATGTGCAGGAGGGCGAAAAGCCAAAGAAGGCAGTCATCAAACGCCTCTACGACTCTCTTCCAGTGTCAGGGCTCTGGGTTCAGGGTTTCGGGTTCTAGATTGGAGGCTTATTGTTCCGGGTTAGTGGTTATCCCCTCAACCCAAGATCTGAGTGTCTGACTTCAAGAGTAAATAGGCAATTCCACGAAATCATAGCGCAGAAAAGGGACAACCTAGGACTCCACTTCCGGGCAGAAGTACCAGTTCGACTACGTGGACTCTTGGTCTGTTGTTGATTTTTTTTTTCGGGAGGTCTTTGAACTAGCCTGGCGCAGGTCCCCATTTTCTAGTATCCTGTTTTCCCATTTTGGCAACAGTACTTGTTGCGAAGTCGCGTCTTGACATCGAACCCTAAACTCTATCCACCGAACCGAGCTCAGAGACCGCTGAAAGCTTGAAATACATGATTTCCGGGCTCGTGGTTACATTGTCACATTGACATGGGTTGAGCCAGGAATTGAAGGACAGACAAAATCTGGATTAGGTGCCCGCCCTTCCATGACGAGGCCCGAAAGTAGCCTTAACCAGGCGGGATTGAGCTGTGCGACACCTTCTTCGGGTACTGTCACTGCCAGCTGGTACCCGAAAAGTTTAGGGTTTAGGGTTCAGGGTTTAGGGAGGTAAGGGATACTGAGTAATCAAGAATGTTGATGCCAAGATTCCAGGAGCTGTACAAATCTATGTGGAAGAAGATCCCCTATGACTTCAAGATCTCTGGCAATTCTTGGCGGCCTGGCTCCAAATCTATGTGGGGGTTTAGGGTTTAGGGTTTCCCAAAATTAGGGGTACCATTCCTTCGGGACCCTTTAATACGGACTATAGTATTTTGGAGTCCATGTTGGGATCCCCTTATTTCCGAAATTTTGTAAATCACTACAAAAAGGACGCCTCATTATTGATTATATAACCATAATGAGGTAATTCAAAGTGAGCTCCTTAGCATCAAGCCAGTAAACCCTTCAAGATCTGTTGCTCTGATTCGGTTTCGTGTTAAAAGATTTTTTGACAACCTCAACCCCAAACCCTAAACCTTAAAACCCTAAACCTTAAAACCCTAAAACCCTTAACCCAAAACCCCGAATACTGAAATACAAATGGTAGTTGGGACCAAAAGCCCCATTATTTGGGTCCCTGGACCCTCAAAGTTGTTATGGCTGGAGAGAGTCTGTAGCGTTCAGGGTTTTAGTGTTGACGGTTTAGGGTTTTAGGGTTTGGGCTTGAGGGACTTCTGCGCAGACCATTGATTCACAAGACTCCTCCCAGATGCAAAGTATACTTCCAAAAAATCTTCCCCAGAGCTTCACCTTCTCGACCCCAGTGCTTAAATCCTGGCCTCTAAACCTCAATTTCCAAACCTTGAATGGAAGCCTGAGCTCTAATCCCATCTAATCCCCAAACCATCTGCTCGAAACCACAACCCAAAGCGTCGGACGCCTTGGGTGTTGTTGACATGACAGGCATAGAATGGAGTGTAAGGTTGTAAGGGTTCAGGGCCTGTCGTTCGGGGTGTAGAGTTTAGGGTATAAGGTACTTCATTTTAGGCTTCGGGGTTGAGGGTGTAGGGTTCAGGGCTCTTTTTTTTGTCTTTGGGTCAGGGTGTATCCTTCCTTCTAAGTATGCTTTGCTCTTGTCAACCCTAAACATGAAACCTTAAACTCTGAAACCTTATCTAGTCCTTACAAGGATGATTGCAAATACATTCCAAGCCTCTACCTGGAGCTTCCCTTTCTTTTTTGACCTCAAGCTATACATGATACCAAACGGAGTGCCAAAAAAAGGGTAGATGTCCAGTAGTAGGACCCCACAAACGAACCGGAATCGCTGATTGTATTTACAAGGGGTGTTACTACTCCATGCTCTAGACCCTCCCCTAAACCCTCAACCCTTAACCCTAAACCCTACCCTAGACGCACAATCCTTAAACCCTTCAGGCCCTCTCCTGGAATTTCTTGAGCCTTTCTCCTCACACCGTGGCTCATGCTCGATGACCAGGAACCCTTAACCCTAATCCTGGATTCAGGACTAGTTGTGGACTGTGAGGAATCCGCGGTCAACTATGAAGCTGGGCATCAAGGAGAAGAAAGCATCATGAAGTTTCAAAAGCCCCCTGTGTGCATTCCCGGAGGTCGCATTGAATTTCTTGGATGTCTATGTTCGACCAAGTTTAAAAGTAACACTATCATCAGAATTGTCCTCAAAGGTGAATGATGGCCGGACCATTGTGATCCTTGTCATAGGGACCTCAAAGAAGAGACGTGCAATTTCTGGAAGCCAGCAGGTGATCGTTGTAGTTTGCAGATCTCCGCCCACGGGGTGTGCCCCTTAAACCTCAAAACCTCAGCCCTAATCTACGGTCCAGAAGGCCTGAGCCCTTTCCGAGACAGTACCAACAGGATTCCATCTGTATGCGTCGATACTAGACAAAGGCGTTAGGTTCAAACTCCTTCGGAGCGTGGTTCGCTGGGAATGGAGGAATGGAAAAGAAAATGGAAAGTAGTATAATGTTTATAGTATAACCGTTATACACGGACTACCATAAGGATCCATCAAGCGATATTGCGTGATGTAGTGCAACTACAACCGTGCCACACTCCAAGCCCCGACCCCCAAGCCCGAACTAACCCTGAGCGCTGAACCCGAGCCATCCCCAAATCGAATCGCTTTTATGTCAATTCGGGTTCTCTGGTAGCCAATTGAGTAGTGGCTTAGGGTTTAGGGCGTGACAGCCCCCCCAGTATGGAGTAAGATTGCAGCCTCCTGATCGTGATCATATCTTACAGCAAGGATGTAGTCTTGCTGGGCTTATCCGGCCGACAAAAGTTAGTCAGTTGTGGCCGAGGACATCTATATGGTTGTCTCCAAGCCGTGGTCGCTCTCTGAGTCTTGGTTAGATTGTTGGCCAAAGCCTGTGCGGTAAATGCTGAACCCGAACTCCAAATCCCTTTCCCCCAAGCAGTGCTAAGACATTTAGTAAAACGCCAAGTGCGCTTAAGTTTTTCAAATCCAGGGGTTTTAGAGGTCTTGGCTTCTTCTGAGATCCAGCGGAGGAGGTTCTTGGGGTTCATGGTCAAGATTCCGGGTTGTTGGATGATGCTGTAGGATTGGGGTTTAGAGCTGAGAGTGTCGAGCTTGAGTCAGTTGGATTACATACGGGGTTTAACGTTTGGTGTGCTTATCAGAAGCCCTCAGCAGCAAGCCCTTGAGTGAGCAAGTACGCTGAGGCCCAAACGCGTTTGCTGAACCTTTATCTAAGCTCATCTTAAAGTTAGCCGTCAGGTTGTCCGTGACAGCCACACTAAGCCTGAAACTCTCAGCTCTGAATCAGTCTATCAGAAATCCATGACCTACTTAACTGTCAGACTTTCGGGTTCAGGGTAAATTTCAAGGCTTCTCGCCCTAAACCCCACCTAGAAATTCAACCGTAAGCGCTACAAACCTGCTCAGGTTCAGGAGTTTGAGCCTTAAACCGTAAAAACCTACACCCTAAATTCTTGATGCTGCGGTGGGTGGTGTTGCCCCTCAGCCTCGAAAGCTGGCGCTTTAGTGGTTTTAGTGGTTTAGGGTTCAGAGTCTGGGGGGTTCAGGGTCTAGGGGTTTAGGGTTTGCAAATTTAGGGTTCAGGGGCAGGAGCTTTGGGCTTAGATTTTAGGGGTAGGGTTCAGGGTTTAGGGTTTGGGTTTTTTGGTTTATAGCTTAGGGTTAAGGGGGATGAGCAAGTAGATCTCTAGAAGTGATCCCGATATATATATCCCTAGTACTTCTAACTTCTATCTGCTCCCTCACCATTGCTTGCTTACCAGGAAGTATACCCAAGTCAACCAAACTCTGCACGAAACATCGCACCGAGGCTCAAAAACCTTACCCCACCTTAAGCCCTCAGGCCCTAGAAACCCAACCCTCTACTTTGAAGCTTCCCCTTAGCTCATCCCCTGCACAGTAATATCCCTTGAATATGGAGTGAATGGGGTCTTAATATACCTCCCTTCAAAGTCTTTGCCCCCAAACTTCAAACCTCTAAGGGGTTCATCGGCTCGGATGCGACCTTTCTCAGAGAAGCAGCCGGTGAGGCCGAGGCAAACATCACCCATCTACACAAGGCATTGAGCAATCTTGACGCTTGAATATGCAGGGTTTGTCGTGAAGGGTATCGTGCCTTATGGACCCAAAGGGGGACCATAATTTTTACAACCTGCCATATGGGGTCCTTCAGAGCCAGCTCATAGGATTAAGTTCTAGGATCTTACGGGGGTCAAGGGTTTGGGGTTTTTGGCTAGGTTCTGATGGGAGAAGATAGACGTGACTCGCTGCTGTCTGCATCTGTCGGGAACTGATTCGACGACCTGTAGTTAGTTTTTTCTGCTCGTGCACAGTAAGTCTCAGACCCTAAGCCCGGAACCCTGACTTCTGAACCTCAATTCCAAAACCTGACATCCTCAACCTTTAGCCCCTCAGCCGTAAAAGATCCTAAGCGCTCAACCTGAGGCCCGAACCCTCTCAGCATATCAACTCTTGGCCCTAGTCCCTACAATATTACAAGGGCCACAAGCCCCCCCAAGGATTCAGCCTTGGGCCACAGAAAGGCGCCACAGAAAGAACCCCAATTACCTGAATACACCAAGGCTGTAGCGCCCTAAAGCCCTACACGCCATGCGAAGCCTCCCGTCTGACTTGGCCAGCAGAAATACGTCCGTTCCTGCATTCACTGCTACCTTTCGACCACGCCCTCAACGCCTTGAACTAGGCCTCAGGATTTCGGACGTAGGGTTTTCAATGAGCCTTGTACCGGAACCCTCATCCGAAGCTCGCCACATCTCTGGACCCTAAATGGGAGTTTTTCACGCTTATGCCCTAATCTCTAAAGCGAATCCTCAACTCACCCAGACTTCGCTAAACCCCAAACCCGAAGCCCAAAAGCCAAGGCGCCCTAAACCCTAGATAGTAGTTTCCATTTTCTTGTCCATTGTCACCCCATTATCCCTGTAGTTTCCATTTTTCCCTATAATAGCCTCATAATCATATCACCAAACAAGGACAGTCGTCTGGCCCAGCTGGCGTACGCCAGCAACAACGCCCACTTGAACACTTACATCCAGTCCGAGGCTTTAGGGGTTTGGGGTTTAAGGTTTCGGGTTTCAAGGTCTAGGCTTTAAGGTTTAGGCTCTAAGGTTTAGGGTTTAAGGTTTAGGGTTTAAGGTTTAGGGTTTAAGGTTTAGGTTTAAGGTTTAGGATGTAAGGTTTAGGGTTCAGGGGCCCAACAGTGGAGGATCAAATGGACAAGAACATGGAAAATGAAATGGGACGTGAGATTATGCGGGAAGATCCTGGGGCCTAGGGCCTAGGGTTCAAGGGCATATTGTTCAAGGCTAGGGGACATTAGGTCTAGGATTTAGGGTTGAGGGTCCAGGGCTTAGGGTTGAGAGTTTATAGTTGGGGTCTAGGTTTATGGGTGAAAGGGACAGGGTTCAAGCTTTCCTAGAACAGAGGGGGTATGTGGGGTTATGAGGAGATTCTTGCGGCACTCTTTCGGGCTGCGGAGCATAGTAATGAGGCTCAGGAGGATGTGGGGTGCAGCATTCAAGGGCCCTAAACCCTAAACCCCAAACCCTAAACCCTAGACCCTAAACCCTAAACCCGAAACCCTAAGTTTTGGAGCATTTTTCTTGGTGCAGAGCTGCCTTGGGCGTCCTAGTCCTAGTTGGCGAACATGTTGCGCGAATGGGCTCTTTAGGCCTAAAGTGTTCAGGATGCTGGGTACAGGGCTTAGGGTCCAGGGTTTAGGGCTTTAGTTTACCAGGACACTGGCTCAGCTTCATGTCCAGAATCTGAGATGAATCGGGGAGAAAAGCAGAGCAAGAATGTAATGTAGGGGATGCTTTGTACAGTGGCTTAGCATGTTAATCGAACTTGCTGCTTCAGCTGCATGCTACGTTTTTCGAAGCCTAACACATTCCCGTACAGTATGTATCCTACAGTACAATTTGTTTTCTGAGAAGTTCTCAAGAACCCCTCAGGTGGATGAGTCAATCCCCACATTTCTGGCAGCGGCAGAGAAAATTCGTCCGGACGCCTGCTTGTACCCTGACCAGCAAACTAGGAAGTTTGAGTTTAGGGCCGTCCAGAGCTTAGGGTCATGATTTAGGGTTTAGGGCTTAGGATGTAGGGTTCATGTTTTGGGGTTCGAGGATACAGAATTCTGTGTTTCAGGCTCAGAGTCGGTTTTTGGGATCAGAACTTCAGCTTCAAGGTACCTGCCCTGAGCTGTAATCCCAATGTGTTCGCAACTGAACCTTCCGTACTTCTCCAACAGTTCATCTTGCAAATTTTTGCAGCCCCACATGGGAGAGAGAAATCAATGCTGCCAAAAGGGCCTGAAGAAACCTCCAGTTTAAGGGGGGATAGCAGGACGACAGCATGCATGCGGCAATGCGCTCTTCAACTGGCTGAGCTGTATGTAAGCCAAGCAAGCACCAATCCCTAAACTCTAGCTGCTGCTAGATGATCTTCTTCCGTAGAGCTCCCAAACAGCTAGAAGGGCTGTTTAGGGTGTGCGGTGTAGCTCAGTCTATGTGGGAGCCCGCTTCCATGTCGTGTCCATCTGATTCTCTGTTACTACTTGAATCCCCAAACGATAGATGTCCGCAACCCCTCTGTGGTGGTTTCCCCAACAATAGGGGGGACCCCAATATAGACCCCAAATTACTATAATCCTTATTCTGTGGATCCCTAAGATGGTGCCCCCTGATTTTGGGAAACCCTAAACCCTAAACCTATAGATTCTCGAGCTCGAACTGTTTGGCTGTTGTACGAGAATATCCTGCCTCTGCGAGGGAAGCTGCCAGCAAATTGCAAGAGAAGCTGTTCCAGAACCCGGCCATCAAATTCTGCCACGGAAAGGACATGGCCCTGGCAACTTGAGTTCGAAGAAGAAACTTCAACAATTATGTACTATAGTAGTTTCCATTTTCTTGTCAATTATCCTTTTATAGCCCCAATATATCCCCATCCACAGTTAAACTAAGAGCTGGTTGTATTCTTCTTCTGACGTTACACCAATGATCGTGGCACTCAAACACATTTTCGGTCCACTTCAATCTCTCATTGAAGGGCCATGAGGGCTATTGAAGCTAAACCAGGCGGGAAACTTGAGCTGGATGGTCTTGCTAGGTTGCTCCAATGTTTCCTCTGCGGGTAGGAGTCAAGAGACAATCCGAAGTTTCCTGGCATACTTTCCAAAGAATCTTGACAAGAGACCCCAATTGTTCCCCTCTAATTCCCCAAGGGCAGCTGCTGTTGAAGAACTCTCACTTGCTCCAAGACGTGGAGCATTAAAAGCTGCAAGAAACAGCAAAATTCCGAACCCGAAGCCGTAGTACGAAGCCATCAGCCTTGAACGAAGGAACCCTGAGCCTAACATCTGAATCCCAACCATCGGGGTTTAGGGTTTAGGCTTTAGGGTTTAGAGGTTAGGATTTAGGGTTTAGGGTTTAGGATTTAGGGTTTAGGATTTAGGGTTTAGGGTTTAGGATTTAGGGTTTAGGATTTAGGGTTTAGGGTTAAGGGTTTAGGATTTAAGATTTGGGGTTTAGGGGTTCCCAAAGCAAACATGATCCCTGGTTTTGGGGTTGAGAGTGGATCTTAAGGGGTTCTCGACATCCTACTGCAGAAGCCTGAATAATTGGCGAAAACCATCCCCGAAGCAATCCTTAAATGATTGTAGTATTGTGTACCAACCCCAAAGAATTCCTATTCAAAGTATCTGGGCCCCTAAACCCTAAATCCTACCTTAACTCCATAAACCCTAAATTTTCCTGGCCTCGCCTCCTGGTGACCTCGGGAAGGACTTGACCATCTACTTTACAATGAAGCCTTCGAGGAATATCGAGGACAAGGCCCTGGGGCCGCTCCAGACTTCCTAAATGGGTTCAGGGTGTAGGGCATAGGGTTCAGGGCGTAGGGTTTAGGCTGAAGGGTTTCAGGTTTAGGGCTTAGGGTTTAGGGCTTAGGGTTTAGGGTTGCAGGGCCTTGGGTTTGGAGATTAGGGTTTAGGATTAAGGTGTAGGGTTAGCATTACCTGGAACATCCTTGAACCTTCCAAAAAGTATGTAGAATAACAACCTTTTTGGGCTACTTTAGGGGTGTTGGGCCAATGTTTTCCTTCTTGTTGGGTTCCAGAAAATCAGATTCTTTCGGAAGTATGATTGATTTCGAGAGATCCCCACGACAAGGGGGCTAGACGGCCAAAGTTACTTCTGGGGCTTGGAGGGTGCAAAGCATGAAAGGTCACGAAATTCCCGGAGTCCTCAACCCTAAGCCCGAAACCCCAAAACCTGAACCCTAAAGCCTACACCCTGAATTCTGAACCCCCGACCCGATTGTAGGTGAAGTTCCGATGCGTTGCTGGTTCAGAGGGCCGCTACTTGGGTATGCGTGACCCAACGCAGAAGGACGGACGCCTAGGCTGGAAGCAGTGCACGTTTCCTTTGTTCCTGATAAAGGGCTTACTGAGCATTTGTGTGTAGGTTTCATGGCCAAATTCTCAACCCCAAAGCCCTAAACCCTAAACACTTAACCTCAGACACAACAGCCTGGATGCTTGAGATCAACGTGCTCATTTGACTTTGGCAAGGTGTGAGCCTAGCAACAGGCTTTGGCCACTTTCTTTTGGGTTTCAGGTTTGGGCTTTAGGGTTTTAGCGTTTAGGGTTTATGGTTTTAGGGTTAAGGGTCAGGTTTGGGTTTCAGGTTCGGTACTTCGGGCTCAGGATTCAGGGTTTCGGGAACTTTCGGGACGAGCATTCTCCACCGTAATGACAGGGGTCTCGGCGGGAAATGACATGCTTCCTCCCATCAGTCTCCATATGCGCCACCCTTTTTAGACATGCATCTGCTTCGCAATCTTCCAAAATCTTCTGGCGTTTCAAAAGTACCATCAAACTGCATGATGTCACAAAGAACGCTATTCGCCCCTCCTTACATCACCCTTTGCACTCAGGATACCTGCCGCTCAAGGCGAGTCACTTGGCTCTGATTGCTTTGGATGCTGCCAAGTTCGCCAGTGTCCTCCGTTAGCCTGCGGGAGGTACACAAGAGACCAGGAAGCAGACTGTCATCTGGATGATTAGAACACCTCTGGCTGCTATTATCCCTCCTTCTACTCTTAGGACTCGTGCTCCTTCTCCTAACTTCTTTTCCTGTGCAGCTACGTCTAGTGCTATTGGCAGCAGACATAGTTTCGATATTATGCTATACTGTCATCCACAATGAGAGAACCAGTAGAGCCATACTGCACAATATTCAGCCGGGTTGGAAATTGTCTATTGCTTCAGTGCCTCAGGAGCACAGGATTTATCAGCTATATCTTTGACTCACTTGCTTGATGTGGTCGCTAGTGCAAATCCCGATTCCAAAAAACATTTGTACAGGCAGATCCTGCCCCATCAGTTGGCTTGGGTCAGCAGGAGCAAGTCGATCTGCACCATGGCGTTTGCACAAAACTGCGCAGAAAAGGTTGGCCTGGAAGAATTTCTGTCAGGATGGGCGATGATTATGGTGGCACGTCTACTTGATTGGAACTCCAAGTAGGTGGTATGGCTGGCAGCAGAAGCTTTCCGCACCGTTTCGAGGCAAAGTGAATGCACAGTTGCAAAGGAATGGGAAGAAAGCAAATCACATTCCGGGGCACAGGGTTGGGGGTTTCCTTTCAAGGGTTCTTCCTGTCCATGTCACAACAAGACGATCTATTGAATGGCAATGGTGCAGGTGATGACTTTCCCTTACTGCCAAACCTCAGCCTCTGCTGTTTGGCAATGGACCCTAAACCTTAAACCCTAAACCCTCCCCTCATGCGAGCTGCCCTGATGGGCGCAAAAAGGTTTAGGGCTTAGGGTTTGAGCTTGCCGGGTTTTCGTTGCCTGAAGGTCGCAAGCCCGGATGCATGCTGCACCCAAAGCTGAGCCCCAAGGAATCTTCTCCGCAGCAGGTTTTAGGCCCTCCAGCACGGTGCAAACAGAACTCAAGAGCAACCTACTGTTGAGATAGAGGTGAATTTCCACATAACTTGTAGGGGTCGAGGTCCGTCGCAAGGAACAACAAGAGAAGTTGTGTTGAGAGACGTCACAGCAATCCCAAACACGTCCAAGCGAAGTCTTTTTGAGACTCCGTGGGACATCCCATCCACCAACCACAAACATGCTGTCATCTTGGAACGCTTCAACCCAAAGCCATAAACCCAAAACCCTAAGCCCTAAACCCTACACCCTGAACCCTAAACCCTAAACCACGAACCCTAAACTCCAACCCTAAACCGTGTTGCTGCTGCTAGCCTTCCTGAGCCATGACGGAGTTGTTGCTTGCCGGGAATCAGATCGTCAGGGTTAAGGGTTTTGGGTTCTGGGCTTGGGAGTTGGAGGTTTGGGGTTTAGGGGTCAGGTTATAGTCCCCCTGAAGTAGATAGAATATGGGGTATATGGGGATCTTATTATAATCTACCCAAAGCCATATTCTATCTACTTAAGGGGGACTATAAGGGCATGAAAAGCTGATTATTGCATGTAGGGTGTTTGGCTTGAACTCCAGGTCCAGGGTCGAAGACTGACCGTTCGGGATGCTACGCTTAGCTCGAACGGGTCCTTAAAATGGCAGGTCCTTTTGTTGGGGCCCCTACTGTCCTGGTGTGGATGAGGAAATGTTGCAGCACCTTATATACCTAGCAATTACACAGTATTGGGCTCCTATGCGTATGGAGGAAGTTTTGCACCACCTCAATTACCTTGTACGCTGAATAACTTGGGAATCCTACGTTCTGCAAGATTCCGTCCATCCACCGTATCACAAGTATCAGAATCCGTTGGTGGTACTGCAGCAGGCACAAATGTAGAAGTGCCTGCATCTGAAGCCCCAGACGGATGCAAAGCTTCAATCGGGCATTGATGTCGTTTGCTGTAAAACCCATGTTATGTCACAGTTGTCTGTGGCTTGATGGGTCCGCGGGGACCCTGAACCATGAATTTTGAATGTCTTCATCAACTATAGATTGAGTAAGTATTTGTTAGTTGAACACGGAAGTTCTTAGAGTCTTCATTTGGCCTTCGGTTTTTGCGCGCAAGTTTGGAGGAGTGTAGTTCCTACAGGCCTTGAACCCTAAACTCTCAATCCTAAATCTTAAATCCTAAACCCGAAATGCCAGAAAACCTATGTCCTAAACCCTAACTCCTACACCCAAAGGCCGAAATCCTAAACCTTAAACGCCCTGAAACATATACTCCCCAGTCGCAGCTGCCTGTCAGACATTGGACATTCCCACCAGATAATCACTAGAGAGTTCTTAAAGGCGGACCTTGAAGATTTGTTGTACTACGTCCATCGGTTCCAGCTAGGTTGTGCTGTGCCTAGCAGCCTGAACCCTTTCAACCTTCAACTCTGCTTTCCTAAACCCTCAACCCCTCAACCGCACACCCTGAAAATGAAACCCTGAACCCCAAACCCTAAACCCTGAATCTTAGACATTAAACCTTGAACCCCAAAGCCTAGACCCTAGACCCTAAACCCCAGGAAAGTCACCTCCAAGAAGGGCACGGGCTTCTATATCCGAGCCGCCGCCACCTTTTTGCGAGGGACGGCCGACTTGCCCCCAGTGCCGTCAATCGTTGTAACTGGCGGCTTGGTTTTCGCAAGTTTGTTTTTCTTGAAAATACGGTAGGGTTTGAAGGTTGAAGACAGTTGGAGAATATAACCCCAATATGACCCCAATATAACCACAATATAACCCAATGTATACCCAATATAACCCTATGTATACCCAATATAACCCTATAATCTGTTGTACATATCCCTGAGTTCCGCCAAAAGAGCCCTCTTTCGAGAGAGGCAGTTCTTAGACTAACTTCCTGGAAGTTGAGGTCCGCCTCAGGCTGAATTAAGACTATCATTTTGGGTCCGCTGAGGAACTTTTGAGTCTGGCTGATGGTTTCCCGAACGGGAAATTTGCTGTCCCTAAGCCCTACACCCCATAAGCCTCAGCTCCACTGGGTCCCTAAGGGTGCCTACAGGCACCCTTATTTTGAGAAAAGTCCTGATATGATCCTACTAGGCTCGGTAAAGACAGCGGGTTTAGGGGTGCAGGGTGTATATAGGGTGGTCAGAGCACTTTAAGCCAAGCATCCATAGATAAGGAAGATTTGACGCAGCGTCAAAGGTGTTTCTTGTGTTTTTGACTCTGATTTCGTTGGTGGTTTGTGCAATCGAGAGCATGGTTTTTGTAGCTACTTTGCGGCTGCCTTTTTTGCTTCCATTCTTTTGGCCACCAAGATTGCTCTTGCTGTTATGATTGCTATCAACTGTGCTTGTGGCTTGTGACATTTGCCTCAGCTCAGCCGTAGGCCAGTTTTGCATTTCTGATTGGGCCCCGGGCCCCTGCAAAGTGGTGATCCGATCTGCCTAGTTTCCGTCCTGCGAACCTTGCTTGGAGTTGCTTCCAAATTCATGATAGGAAAATGGGGTTTCCAAAGATTACCTCAACCCTAAACCCTATGGGCCCGAAAGTGCCTGTGTACATCAAGCAACGGCAACTTCCTGCTCTTTGCAGGTTGTGAGCGCTTGTGCCCCAGGTGGAACAGACTTGTTGGCGTATGTTGGCATCAGGCTAAACCCTGAACCCTAAGCCCTAAACCCTAAACCCTAAACGGGCAAACCCCTAGGTTTCTGCGGCGGCCATTTCTCTAGCGTACGCGGAAGTCACGAAACACTGGCAGGCGTGGGACTTTAGAGACATGGGGAAAGTATCGGGCTTCCAGAATTCTGACCTGAGGGGGGGGGGGTCAGG